AATGTATAATCTCTCCACCACCTCTTGGTGGAACCCATCATCTAAAATACAACAAAATCGACCTCATTGGTCTCAACTATACCCATGTTCCGCAGTACCTCATGGCAACTGTCAAGATAATCTTGTGGGCCCTCAGAAGGTGTACCACTAAAGTGAACTGGAAAGAGCTTAGTAAACTTATCCAGTCTCAATAAGGCCTTAGAAGACATGGCGGGCCTATCATCGGCCTGTGCCACAACAACTGGCTGAACTACCTCAACTGGCGGGATTGCTGGAGCCTAATTCTGGGGGGCCATCTACTCCGGAGCGGGAGTAGTAGGAGTCTGTGCTCCTCCCCCAGCATGTGATACGGCTGGTGCCACTGGATATGTACTATTATGGGCCACGCCCTCCATAAGACTCACCAAACGGACTAGAGCGTCCTGATGCACTGGAGTAGCTATAAATCCTTCTAGGACTTGAACTGGTCTAACCGGTATAGTCTGAACGGGAACCTCCTCCTGAAGATCCACCTGAGGTTCTACAACAGGTGTTGCTGCTCGAGCTCTAGACTTAGCTCTACCTCTGCCTCGGCCTCTAGCACGACCTCGGCCTCGACCTCTAACCCTACCCCTGGCCATAGTTGTCACTGGGGGCTCTGGTCCCTGTCCGTCGGTAGATGTATTACGTGTTCTCGCCATCTGCGAGAGAATAAGAATAGAATGATTCAATTGTCGATTATAGAATAAGATCGCACGACAGGATAAGAAAGAAGTGATATTGTTCCTAAACTTCATAGCCTCTGAGAGATAAGTACAGACGTCTCTGTACCGATCCTTCATACTCTATTAAGCTTACCTGTGACTCGTGAGACCTATGTAACCTAGTGCTATGATACCCGCTGTCACGACCCGAAATTCCACCTTCGAGTCCGTGATGGCGCCTAACATTTTACTTGCTAGGCAAGCCAACGTTAGAATAATATTAGTCATTTTAAAACAAGTTTAAACTAATTAATAACAAAGAAACAAATGCGAAAGTAGGTTCTGAAATGTAGTGAATAATCCATAATAGTAGAGATGTCTAAGTACCATCCCAGAACTAGAGTCACAAGTACACGAGCTTCTAGAATAATACAAATAAAGGTCTGAATAAAATTCAAGTTGTTTGAAATATAATACACAACTGAGATAATATAGAAGGGGACTTCAGAACTGCGAACGTTGTGCAGCTATACCTCAAGTCTCCACTGGTAGCTGTATCCGGAAAAATCTACAGTACGCCGCTGGGACCAACTTCGAAATCTGTACAAGAAGTGCAGAGTGTAGTATCAGTACAACCGACCCCATGTACTGTAAGTGCCGAGCTTAACCTCGACGAAGTAGTGACGAGGCTATGACAAGACACGTATGTAAACCACCTGTACAAGTATATACAAAATACAAAGTAACAATAATATAACAAATAACAATTTATAAATTGGGAGAGAATATGCGAAGATGAAGGATATAATAATTTCGGCAGGAGGAATGTTACTTAACAACCAATTAATTTATCAACAATAAAATGAGCAAGTGATAATATAAAAATGGCACGGCACCACCCTTCGTGCTTTTACTCTCATTTGACACGGCATCACCCTTCGTGCTTTTACACTCTCAAATGGTACAACAACATCTTTTGTGCTTTTACACTCACAAATGGCACGACAACACCCTTCGTGCTCTTATACTCACAAATGGCACGGCAACACCCTTCGTGCTTTTACACTATTCCTTATCATGAAAATAATAATATAAATTCGGAAGAGTTTAAGTGCGGGGATATACACTTATCAATCAATTCATGCCAAATACCGACTTCACCTTCCAAAATATTCAACAATAATTAAATGAATAATAATTTCATGAATAATGATCAAATAATAAATAATAAACTTAAGCAGGAATATCTTAATTAAATAGACAATTATTCACAATAAACAAATTCCATTCGCATGCTTTGACTCAACCACAACGCATAAGTGCTCGTCACCTCACATATACGTTGTATCCGCACATTAAATCATGTAGCAAATAGACAATTAAGTCATACTCCCTTAAGTCAAGGTTAACCACAACACTTACCTCGTTTTGCAACCAAAATTCAAGAATCCAATAAATTTTTGCCTCGCGAATTCGTATCTAAAATCCTCAAATCTAGCCATAAACAATTCAACATACTCAATATAAATTGTAGGAATTAATTCCATATGAATTTATAAATTTTTCGGATAAAAATACGAAATTTATTTTAAAAATCAACAGTGGAACCCACGTCTCGAATCCTAAAAAAACTCATGAAATCCGAACACCCGTTCCGATACGAGTTCAACCATATAAAAATTATCGAATTCCGACATTGGATTGACTTTCAAATCTTCATTTTACATTTTTGGAAGATTTTATAAAAATCTAATTTTTCTTCCATAAATTCACGGATTCATAATGTAAATGAGTATGGAATCATGAAATATAATCAATAGAGGATAAGGAACACTTACCCCAATATTTTTCCGTAAAAATCGCCCAAAAATTATTTTATCCGTGCTAAAAATCGAAAATGGTGGAAAATGGGTCGAAATCCCATTTCTAGAACTTAAATTCTGTTTGCCCAGATTTTTACTCATCGCGATCGCGAACATTCACACGTGATCGCGAAGAATAATTTTTTCACTGCCCAAATTAACTCTACGCGATCGCAGACACATTCACGCGATCATGAAGCACACGATTCCAACTCTACACGATCGCAGCCCCCATCACGCGTTCGCGAGTCACAAACTCCCAAAGCTACGCGATTGCATCCCACTTCACGCGATCGCATAGAACAAATTCAGTAGCCCCCCACCCCCCAATTAACCCTACACGATCGTGAATATCCCCACGCGATCGCATAAAACGAAACTCCACTGCCCAACTAAGCCTACGCGATCGCAGACACATTCACGCGATCGCGTAGAAGAAAAACAGAATCAGATATCAAAAAATTTCAGCAGCTGTTCAAGTCCAAATTTTTGATCCGTTAACCATCCGATACTCACTCGAGCCCTCTATGTTCCAAACCAAATATGCACACAAATCCAAAACCCTCATACGAACTCGCTCGAGTGATCAAAATTTTAAAATTTTTATTTTCACAACCGAACGTCCGAATCACGTCAAATTAACTTTGTTTCTCACCAAATTCGACAGACAAGTCATAAATGACATAACAGACCTATAAAAAATTTCAAAACTCGAATCCGACCCCGATATTAATAAAAGTTAATTTGTAGTCAAACTTTAAAATCTTTAAGCCTTTAGACTTCTAGTTTTCGCCAACTAGCTATAATTCAAGTTAGGGACCTCCAAATTAAATTTCGGGCATACGCCCAAGTCCCAAATCACGATACGGACCTACCGGAACTGTCAAAATACTGATCCGAGTCTTTTTGCTCAGAATGTTGACCAATGTCAACTCAGTTGAGTTTTAAGGCTCTATTTCACATTTTAGTAAATTTTTCATATAAAACTTTTCAAAAAATTATACGGACTGCGCACGCAAGTAGAAGAATGATAAATAGTACTTTTCGAGGTCTTAAATCACATAAATAATTATTAAATTTAAAGATGACCTTTTGAGTCATCACAGAAATGTCGTTCTCATTTTTTATCCTTTAAGAGTATATTTTATATTGGACAGAGTAGTAATTTTTGTTATTTTCCTAAGGGATCTTTACAAAAATAGCCGGCCATAATCATTGTTTACCTTTTCTAGCCATATGCATAGATTATACATTGATTATATATAATTATACACATATAATACATAAATTATGCAAATATTATACATCCAACGGCTATTTTTAGTTTAAGTGTTTGGATGTGTAGCTATTTGGGTTAAATCTTCTTTTCCCAATACGTAGGAATAGTCATTAATTAGTTTTCTAATATTTAGGGATAATCATTTAATTAATAACCTAATATTTAGGACTTTGATATGGAAAATCATATAATTATCGTTTTGTTGTAAAATATTTATTTAAGAGTCCTTGACGAGCTTCTTTTTTTTGTTAAAAAGTTTTAGGTTTAGTATTGTTTATTTTCTTTTTCTTTTTCAGAACTCCTTTTCTTCGTATAATTTATGTAATTTGATTATACAATGAGATACAATAATTTATTCTTTTTCTGACATGTTGAAAATAATTCATATAATATTTATTATTATTTAAAAATAAATAAATTGTATTTTATTCTTGAAAAAAAATATTATTTTCTATCAATTTGTTAATCCTGTTTGTGTCTCTAAAATGAACAAGGGAATAACCTTTCAAAAAAAAATCAAAAAAGTCATTAAGTTTTGAAGGATTATATGTGACTGCTGAAATTAAAAAGAAGCACGATAACTTATGAATTTAAAGCGATTGAATTAACAATTTAAATAAATTTTTAGTTAAATATATTGACTGATACTTGAGAACTTGTATGAAGATTAATAATTTTAGGAAAAATTAACTTTTATTTTATCACTCAAATATAATATTTATATAGTATTTTAAAATTCTTTCTTATTGAGATAATGTACACGCGCAATGCGCGGTTCATAAGACTAGTTCATATAAAATGATATGGAGGGAGTAATATGGAATATTCTCTTCCAAAAAAGAAGAAAAAAGGAAAAAAGGGAAATGTATATTTTTAAATCTAATCGACATATGTTTCGGCTTATATTCCTACTACTGTAATAATCTTCACCACTTCCTTTTTAATTGTATCGAAAGGCCCAATGAATTAGCATTTAAATATGTAATATTTTATATATATTTTGGCTAGTGAATGAAATTAGTTTTGGTTGGTCGGTCAATTTGTATTTTGCAAAAAAAAAAAAAAAAAAAGAATTTCTTGAATTATTTTGGCAACATGGAAGCTAAAACTTGGGTCGGGTCAACCCGTCCAAGGTCCAATAAAATTGGATTGGCAGATTCCAGACAAAGAAATTACTGTGGAAAAAGAAAAGTGCTGCTTCTAACTCTATCCTCTTCCCCTCATCGTCTATTGTGAAAGCTTTCTTCTGTGAAGCAAATGGCGACAATGGCAGCTCTGCAGAGCTCGTTTACATCTCTTTCGATCTCCTCCAACTCATTCTTGGGCCAACCTTTTTCTCCTCCTCTCTTCCCTCCTCTGGTACCATGCTTTACTTACCACTCTTTTAAATTTCCTTCTATTTTTACTTACTGTTGTCCATTGATAGTCTCCTAGTATTATTTTTTTTTTAAATATTGGTTTCTCAAATAATGTGCTTTGTAAATTTGGGTTGTTAATGGTTGCTTTATTCGTATAAGACTTGGTACATGTTATTTTGCTGGAATTGTCTTGCAATTCGTGGAAACAGGAGCCTTGCCGTGACTAGTAAAGTTGTTGCTATGTGACCAGGAGGTCACGGGTTCGAGTGAAAACAACCTCTGCATTAGCAGGGGTAAGGCTACCCCTGCGTACGATAGACTCATAGACCCATGTGGTCCGGCCCTTCCTCGGACCCACGCATAGCGGGAGCTTACGGTGACAGAAACTCTATACACCAAGGTGCATTTGGTATAGAGTAAGATGTTTATTTTCGGGTATAAAAGTTGGTGACATATATGTATTTCAATAATAATGTCTAAGTATTTATTAGAACATGTGAGGTTAATTAAGAGTTGAAAATTTTATTAAAAGGAAAATGATCATCAGGGCTTTGGTTCAACTATAGAGGTAGCACAACATGATGTGTGGTAGGAAAGGAATGGGTCATGGATTCGATCCTGACTGGTGAATGAGATCTGGTATTTAAGTAGAAAAGGGTTGAGCCTTGGGGTTTGCTCCCTTTCAAGGTCTCAAGTTCGAAACCCACTGGGTGCAAACAATTTCTGAGGGTCATCGGATTGGGTAAAACCTGAATTAACCGTGGTGCACTTGCGGAAAACTCCTTGCTGAGGGCCTGTGCACCCCCGGGATTAGTCAGGGCTCAAAGAGACTCGGACACCCGGTGCAAAATCAAAAAAGTAGAAAAGGGTAGAGGGACTAACACATCCATCGAGTTTTGAAGCTGGAAATAGCAGTTTTCTCCATTATGTAATTTATGTATGTGTGTATATAAAGAAAAGTGACTTCCGCCCATGTGTGATATAATTCATTTTTCTCGTTTCTGCGGAAAGGATTTTCCTTGAGGAAAACATTATCAAATTTCAAGGCAAGGAAGCACTTGAAAACATTTTCCTTGAGGAAATATATCTCGCGTACCAAACACACCAACTAGACTATGGATGAGATTGGTGCAAAGCTAGATCAAAGATTCTTTGTCAGCGGGTGCGAAATACCACTGCACTTGTAACTACTACTATGTGATAGTGGGTTTGAACTTAGTGTGTGTCTGTATTTTAAGTTGCTCATACTTTAAGTTGAGGTGGCGCGGTTGCCATACCACATCTTCCCTGAGGTTAATGTGAGTTTCACCGATTACTTTAAATGTAGTTCATTCTGTATGTTTGATGCTTTTGTTTGCGAGTTTCAAAGTGAACTGTCTTTGTTTTGGTCTTGCATCGACTTAATTAAGAGGAAGATATGCTATTGAAGAATTGATTTCTACCTGTAGATATGTAACTGCTCTTCCAAGGTGCTAACTGTGGCCAAATTCTTGATCATTTTAGAGGCTCTCAATGTTTCAAGTTCTGATTTTGATCTATCTGTTGTTCAACATAACTGGACAAATAACTTGTTGATAGCAAAAGAGCTGTATTCGTGGTTTAGCATGTAAAGACACTTAAATTCCATAGGATGAGTCCTCCATATTTATTAATAAATATGAATGAGTAGTTGAAGAGAACAATTTTATGTGGAAATCAACTCTCCAGAGTGTACATCATAATAAGTTCTTAAATGAAGCTTCTAGACATCTTCAACATGAGGGATTAAAAACACCCGTTACATGATAAGCAGTTGAAGCAAAATATTGATTTCTGAATATCTTCTTCAAAATATGGACTTGCTGTATTTAGGTTGATGCTCCTTACTACAACTGTTTACTAGTCCTCTTATATTGTCCTGCTTGCGTGACTTGTCTTTTTCACGCGTCGAATTGCAACAAGATAAATTTTTGTTCAATTAACGACAGTCTTCAAATGATACTTTGCAGGTCAAATCAACACAAAGTCCAGGTCCCATTGTAGCCAAGGTTGGTATCTTAGATCTATTTTTGGTATTTTCTCTGCTATCAGGTTGTGTACTTTTTCCATGACCCAAAAAAGAAGATTTTCTTGTAAGGTGCTTAGACTAACTTAATAGCAGTTCGGAACAACTGCCAGAAAATGTTATCTGTTGGTGACTCAAGGCACACATTCTTGTAGTTGGAAGAAATGAAAATGAAGAGCAGATAAAATGTTATGCTCTTCCAAGGTGCAACTGTTGGTGATTCAAGGCACACATTCTTGTAAAAACGTTCTTCATTTTCATTTCTTCTGCAGCTTAAGCGATGGGAGCGTAAGAAGTGTAAGCCAAACAGCCTTCCGGTGCTACACAAAATGCATGTGAAATTGGGAGATACAGTAAAAGTGATATCCGGCCACGACAAAGGTAAGATTGGAGAGATCACTGAGATTATCAAGCACAACAGCAAAGTCGTCGTAAGTGAGATAAACTTGAAAACCAAGCATGTGAAGAGTAGAGATGAGAATGAACCGGGCCAAATAATCAAGGTTTTCAATTTCTTTCCTTCTCACTGTATCTAATTTTCCTATAAGTTAATCTCATGTTTCTCTTTTGTTATGGCTCCAACTTATTCAGGACTGAGGCATAGTTGTTGTCGTTCTCTTTTGTTATGGATAAGGCTAACATAAACTAATCAGTCTTCATGAGAAAATAACTTTTTAAGTCTGGTGCTTTCAGATTGAAGCTCCTATTCACAGCTCGAACGTGATGCTTTACTCGAAAGAGCAGAAGGTAGCCAGTCGGGTGGGTCATAAAACACTCGACAACGGGAAAAGGGTCAGGTACCTCGTAAAAACCGGAGAAATTATTGATAGTGCAGAGAACTGGAAGAGAGCTGTCAAAGAGAAGGAAAAAACAACAGAAGCAGTGGCTGCTACTTCTTAGAAGGCTGGCTAGTGAAATCTAGTTGTTGTACTTTCTTCAATTCTCCATTAATGTGTTATCTGTATGTATTTATTTGTAGCCACTCCTTTAACCATTCCTACAAAAAAGGTTGTTCAAGGCAGAAGGGAAAAGGTACACTAACAATTTTGTATTTGTATTTATTGTAAAAGTT